GCCATTAATCAATCATCAGGAACAAATCACAAATCGAGGCCTTCCTGTTATTTTGATAATAAATATTTTTAATGAACTTTATTGTCAGTCCCTACTTGGTAAAAAAATTCAAGCTTGTATGTATGTTGTGTTGTTGAAATAAAAATGATAATAAACAAGTTATTACTGCATTACATTTTTTTAATGTTTAGAAAAGAGGTTTAGGAATCAATTGGTTGTTGTTGTGAGTGTAATATGTCTTTCCTTAGAAAACATATTTATCTTGCGATTTATTTATACAATATCTCATCCTTCGAGGCAACCAGCCGCAGTGGAAAGTGCGTACCTTTTCTGGCGCTGACGGCGTTCTAGCGCCGACTTTTAAAAGAACTTTACGAGCTAACTAAACAGCAAGCAGTGCCGAACTTTTATCAGTAAATTAATAATATCACCGCAAAAGCGGACGGTGAGGCCAGCAAAATAACCATATTGCGCATGCTCATTTTATGGGACAATCGTCGGCAATTACACCCAACGAAGAACAGCTTTGCATAAAAAAACCGACAAATTGACAAATTTTAACAAAATATTTTACTGCCAAAAATAGGACAAAATATTTATATAAAAATAGACTCCTAAACGCTTTGCTATGAGATACAGAATCGTTTCTATTTCATCATTATTTATAGCGATGTATTATTTGTCAGCCCAAGACCAATCAATGTTTCACGCATTAATGTCTGACCAAATACCTGTTGATTCTTAATTATTAAAAACTCTAGTGCCAATCATATCAATATCAATATCATCATGGGAGAACACAGAAAAAAGATAGTGACAATGACAATAACATTTTTTGAGATTTTGATAACGTTGTCACTTTGCCGTCAGTGCTGCCAACCTTTCGAGGTCAATTGAGTTATATTCCTGAATCCGCCACATGTCAATAAAAACTTCGGGTACAAGGTTATCAATCAATGATCTATTTACAAGTAAGTTGCTAAATCACAAGAGGCGTTTGGATGCTCCGAGCACGCCTCGAAAGCTCTACTGCAAGTATCTCCAATACCTGTTCGTCTTTATCTGCAACCCGACCGCCTCGGTCGTCCACTATCTGCTTCAGTTTTTGAAGCCAATCGTCCAATGCCGTTTGTTGATGTAAGTTCATAATAACCTTCTTGGCCTACAAACTAAATACGTACTAAGGACCAAAATTTTCCGTCTTGTACGTAACGGCGTAATCAAAATTGACGTAATTCCTTATGAGGGGTTATAGGGGCTCACTAGGACAGTACGAGCAAAACATTAATTGTCTGTCGATCATCACATCAACATCAATTTGTGATTTAAAATTGGCGTCTTATTGGCACTTTCTTGGGGTAAGTTCTTACTCAGAAATTTAGCTGCGCAAGATACTACGAAACTGCATGACATCATGAAGATGTTAAGAACAAGGGACTTATTAGGAGTTCATGAATACCAATGAGATATAAGTAACATTGTAGTTTGCGACAATAATGATTTAGATGGGGTGAGTAAAGTGATGAAATGCTTGACCTGCAGAAAGGGATACCTGAAGGCTGTAGATGCATTTCTACAAGTGCAAGGCGATAGCAGTGCAGTGGATGAGGGGTATTTTCAAAGCTCGTTAAATGAAGATAAAGTAATTCAAGGAACGAGCGGTGATTTAGGAATTGGCTCTCTCTACAATTCAAAGTGATAAATAAACGGACATTTTATTTCTCGTAACAGGGCAGATGCCTTCAATTTAATATTTCCTCTGCTTCAAGTAGGCGCCCACTGACTGTAGTAACCGATTCATATTTAAATATTCGATTCAATAATTGAAATTGGTCTGTTTCTTCCAAAAACTGGAGTGCTTATTGCTAAAATCATATGAATACATTGATAATACATTCCTGATATTCGAAATTTTAACTTTTAATTTCAAGGGTCTTTGTCATCATCATTCAGCCCCTTATGCCCAGGTTGAACATAGGCCTCCCTAATCATTCTCCATTCCAATCGATTTTGTGCTGCTTGCATCCAGTTACCGCGGATTCTGTCAATCGTCCAGCCAACGCGTAGGCGGACTTCCTCTACTTCGCTTGTCCGTTCTAGGTCTCCACTCAAAAAACCTCTTTTCCCATCGATCATCCCGCATCTGTGCAACGTAGACAGCCCAGTCTTAGACGTTGACGGCCCAGCACTTAAGTTTTGCAATAGCTCCGACGACAGCGCTCACACCAGTTCATCCACGCAAATCCCCGTTTATTAGAGCCGTCTCACACGGGCCACTCTGCAGCGCTTTTCAGTGGCACTGCTGAGAAGCTCACGTTAACCTTAAGCAGACTGAAGTGGCTCGTGTGAATGCCAGCATTTGAACCAATGTATCGCTATCAGTAGCGCTGCTAAATCGGTGGTCGCGCCCGTGTGAATAGCTCCATATAAATCAATGTACCTTCAAAACGTGCTTCTCAGCAGCGCTTTCTGAGAAGCGCTGCAGAGTGGCACGTGTGAAACGGCTCTTAGGACACCCGCAGACGTGCGACTTTTGTAGAGCCACAGTTTTGATGCTAAAAATGCAAATCATTATTTTAATAACTTGTTCAGGTATGGGTTCGCTTGTGCGATTGATGCATGCGTCTGACGCAAGCAGCGGCTGCAGCGTCCATCGCATACGTCGTAGGTGATTTCGCTTGTGCGTCTAAAAAAAAAGTTGACAAAAAGCGGCAGCCCGAGCACAGTGCAAAGCGAAATTTGAGTAGTGGATTAATTAGCATCATGGAGCTCTTTTATTAGAAGAAGAAAAAGATAATGATTCCGTTATTATTTACTAACATAAAACAACATCATTCTAAGTACAAACATCGATATATAGATGTTAAATTCCCCGATTATTTTCGCTTAAGTAGAAAGTAGAAATCAATTTGATTTACGTCGACGGCAAATTAATAGAAATATTGCTGTGAAATGGCTTGCGTCTCGCCGCTGCACTGGCCTTGATAAATGCCTGGGTTCGCTTGTGCGATTGACGCAGGCAGCGGCTGCAGCGTCCATCGCATGCGTCGTAGGTGGGTTCGCTTGTGGGTCCAAAAGTTGAAAAAAGTCGGCAGTCCGAGCACAGTGCAAAGGGAAATTCGAGTAGTTGATTAATTAGCACCATGGAGCTTGCATTGGCTGTTTTATTTGAAGAAGAAGATAATTAAACCAGAACCCCTTATTAAATACGGACAGAAAACCTCATCATTCTATATACAACATCGATATGTAGATGTAGACTAAATTCCACGCTTATTTTCGCTTAAGTAGAAATCAATTTGATTCATGTCGACGGCAAATGAATAGAAGTATTGCAGTAAAATCGCTTGCGTCTCGCCGCTGGACGGGCCTCAATAGCAGTGCCTGCGTTTCGACGTTGCGTCACACTTCAGACGCCAGACGTCGACGCGCTAGTAAACCCATAAACATGATATGCCATATGATCAGTTTCTGCGATGGACGCTGCAGCCGCTGCTTGCGTCAGACGCATGCATCAATCGCACAAGCGAACCCAGGCCTTAACAGTGCCTGCGTTTCGACGTTGCGTCAAACTTCAGACGCTAGACGTACACGTGCTAGTCAACCCATAAACATGTTATGCCATATGCATGCGCACTATGCATATGCTGCTTGCGTCAGACGCATGCATCCATCGCACAAGCGAACTCACGCCTTGCAGAAACGCTCCCTGCAGAACGGGATCAAGCAGACGGGAGCGACTAAATTGTGGTAGCGTCAGATGAATTTCTTTACTTAATTTGGCTTGTACCGAAACGGCATAGTGGCCATGTGCAGGCACTAAAGTCGCCCCTCTGAGGGTGCCTTAATGTGGTCCTTCAAGGTCACACCAAACATGAATCTCTCCATCTTACTCTGTGTAGCTCTAAGTAAGCTGTTGCTCTTAGCGTTAGAGTTTCTGAGCCATGTCATCATTGGCAGCACGCACTGCTCGAAAACCCGTCTTTTTAGATTGACGGGAATGTCACTCTTGAAAACGTCTTTAAGTCATCCAAAAGCTGCCAATGAGAGAGTGAGCCTTGTATTTAGTTCGCATGTCTGACTATCTCTTGAGATACTGACTTCATGGACAAGGTATATCTATCAGCTATTTCAATTGCAGTTCCGCCAATCTTCAAGCCACAGCTGAGAAGATATAGATATCTTCAAGCCACAGCAAGGAGATCAGAAGGTTCGTCATGAATTTTGTTTTTGACATATCGATATTAAGACGGTCTTTTCCATACTTTTTGCAGGTCCTGCAACATCAGTCGCATTTCTTCTAGATTGAGATCTTTTCAAGGCTAGAACTAAAAAACACTACTTACTCACAAGTGTGTTACACGTTTCAATTTGTTCAACCCTTTCAATATGTTTCAAAGTTTACAAAAAAGTGTGCGTACAATAAAAATAACAATATCTACCAAATGTAAACAGAAGAGGTAAATCAAATGTTACTAGTTAAGTGTAGTTTATAATTTTGACACCAGGGAGCGTTTAGACTTCGCGAAATCACGCAATGTATTGTTCTTTACCTTGCATTTTAAGCAGCCCTGATGGTAACGTAACTGTCGAAACTGCTTGACCCAAGTCTATTAAAACAACAAATTACACACTTTACTATACGATTTATTAACTCATTTTACCGAGTTCTATTTTTTTTTTAGTAGTGAGAGAACATTGAAAAACCCCCTATTTATCAGCAATCGTTTACATCATGTCGTTGTAGTACCTAATCAGTTTCATCTTGTTCTTTTAACATACACAGCAGACGTTGCAAGAATTAATTATTCGCCCAAATTTTCCATCTTGATCACAACATACAATTTTTAGTGCCCCTCACTCATCTCGTATTTCAGCACAAACCGAACTGAGCGTGTAAACCCACCTCAACAGTTTTAATTGATAATAAACCCAAAGAAAAATGTGGATATAAGTATCTTTGAATCAATATTCAAGGATTAGCGTGTTGTTCTTATGGAAAACTTTGTCATGTAATAAGAAATAAACAACTTAGTTTTTTTTTTAAATTCTATTGATTTGGCAAATATAAAAATATCTACATTGATGGTTCTATTTTTAACAGCAAATAAGTTTTTTTTATAATGTTATAACACAGCACACAGTAGGAAATTCATGGATACATAACGTAATATAAACGAACTTCTATAACTAATTGTCATACAAATAGGCTAATGCTAAACATAACAATTGTGTATTTTTATGACTTTGGCAACATATTCCAACTAAAATTCAAGCTGTCACATAATCGCCAGTTTATTCGAAAGTTTTCAGCCTTTTATCGTCTTTCACTAAAATAACCACAAATAACTTTCTAAATTTGAAATAATTGTTTGGACAATAATTTAAAATATTCTTCGTCTGTATTTTTTTATACATAAGAATAAATATTTACTTTGATTATAGCGCTCTTTATCAACAACACAATGATACATATGGTATAATCAAAATAAATGGTCTCAAAAATATTCGATTAAATTAACCAGTCTACTTGCAAACCTAACCTGACCAGACTGTATTATTGGCTTTCTTTCTTTTCCTCAAATTTTGCCGTAAATCTTATTCAAAAATTAGTCTCATAATTAATCAGGCCGTGCAATTAAGTCGCATTTTTCTCTTTGGCTAACAGCCACATTTTTTCCGATTGTTGGCGTAAGTTCTTACATCTTCTGCCATGTTAATGTGGCATTCCCCTATAACTAATAGCATGTCCGCATATTCGATATTGATGCACATTTTGTGAAAGAAGCTTCAAAGTAAGTCACAATTCTTGTTATTCTTGACAAAAACTGTGTACCTGATAATGACAAAAAATGGCATTGCCGCTTTGACTTGACGTCAAAAAATATTGGAAGAGAACTTTTCTAATATCATAAATTTTCATCATTTGAAGCCAAAATCGTAGTTTTTCTTTTCGAATGCTTAATTATTCCAATAGGCTACCAATCAAACATGGGGCCATTTCAAAATAATGCTTGACATCGAAGTTGAAAATAATCTAGAAATTTTCGAATTTTTTTTTACTTTTTCCTCTTAAAATAAATTAGGCCAATTTTAAATCACCCTGTATATACTTAACGTTAGGCAACAAACTTTTCGCAAAGCATTCGATTGTACTAGGGGTTTCAGAAGGAATGTAAATTATGTTAAGGGTATACTTATTCTTCATGGGTCACAACAAATAGAAACGTTCATACGAACATGGGTCCGGAAACGCCCCACAGCACAAAATAGCTATTTATGTACCAAGGGCGTTACGGACCTTATAATGCCCTGAGGGCCGAACTAGCCCGAGGGCCTTTGGCCCGAGGGATAGGTTTCGGCCTGATGCAATAAATACTACTTATATCAAAAAATGCATTTTTTGATATAAGTAGTATTTAAGTAAATTTTATTTAAATCTAGTACATCTACATCATACGTTTAAGAATATTTTCTAAAATATCATTATTGGCCTGCACACATCTAGTTGCGAGTTTATTTATCACATGTGGAATTATAAAAAGAATACCTGTTAAAACAGTCAGTGGAATTCTGAAATTATGTTGGAATAAACACGAAATTTCATCCAACCGAAAAGACAAGAATCTGCTGGATTGAGGCCGAGAGATCTTACTTAAGTCAACTCACTGGCCTCCGTTTACCAATAATAAAAACGTTCGCACAAGGAGAGGAGGAGGCGCTCCAACATGTTCATAATAACAACAGAAACATGATTCAGCATATTAAAAGTTTTCATGCAAGAACTGCAAAACAAGCACTAATGATTAGTCGCATTCGGACTATGTATTATCAATTACCACAATGGAGAACCTACTCCTTGAATATCGTGTCTTCGACTTTCGTCTGGTGCATCGTATAATATTTTGATCCTCGATGGAAAATAGCCGGTAAAGGTTTTGAAAAAATCGGAGACAAAAAGTAAATCTGTCAAAAGCATGCGTTGCGAAAGTTATTACTTTCCACACGGATGAAGAAAATTTAATTGAATAAAGAGGGAACGCGTAAATTGTCATTGTCATGTCATTGTAATGGGTAAATGTGATTCTTTCGCTATCGAAATCAATGGCGAAACTACGTGTTTTCCATCGGGGGATCAAAAAAATTGGTTTTGTATTTTTTTACAGCGTTTCCGGACCCATCTTCATATGAACCTTTTTGACTTATACGGAGTGTTTTTTTCGATGATATAAATATATTTATTGGTACACAAAGGAGGTATGGTCTGGTAGGTACCTGAATTATCAATCGTACGCTCCAATGAAATATAAAAGATGTGTAATAACGGCACTTACAGATAGAGCCATTAAATTGTCACATTGGGAGTATAGAACAAAAAATCTTGAAGAAATAAAAAATATGTTATTAATAAACAACTATCCAAAGTCATTTTTTGAACCAATCATAAAGCAAAGGATAAATAAAATATACAATTCAACTAAATGGAAAAACATAAATAAAAGAAGAGAAGGTGATATCAAGTATATATCATTACCATATATTCCGGAAATTAACACAAAAATAAAAAATAGATTCAAATCACATAATATCAACATAGCAGAAAAAACTAAAAACACCTTAGCAAATGAATGTTTCATAAAATTTAAACCTAGGATTGACAAGTTAGACACGCCTAATGTCATTTACAAAATAGACTGTTTGAATTGTGATAACACATACATAGGTCAAACAGGACAATATCTAAAGAAAAGAATATACGAACATAAGTACAGCCTAAGAAAAAATAACGAAAATGGTACAGCATTAGCACAGCATGCACAA